TGGTCCGAGGATGGGTGGCCCCAGCAATTTTCTGGCGTCTTCTCCCCCCCCCCCCACCTGCAGCACCAGCACATGGAGGAGTTTGCTGATGTTGGTGTCGTGTTAATTGGGGGACACGGTCATTCTGTTCTTGCCCGCCAAGTCTAATCAACTTGCCCAAGGTAGTCAGTCATTTTCGCAAAAAAATCCGGAATTACTGTAATATTATTTATATCACTTTGAGCGTGAGCACGTTGTTCTGTGTAGAGCAGCTACGTGAGAACCTCCTGGGGCATCTGACCTCTGAAATTACATGACGCTAATAGCGTGCAGGATGAAATCTCTCGCAAGAGCAAAATGCTATCAGAGTCACACTTAAAGTACATTGTTAACTATTTCGGCACATATCCGTTCTTTAACATGCCTTTCCCTTTCCACCTTTGAATGTGGCATTCTTGTATGGAATGCAGGCAGGTGACTTGCTCACACACCTGCATTTTAGTGCTTACAATGAGCATTGTGCAATAAGAATGGGTTAACCTGCCTTGGGATGCGAGGAATCAAACTTCAAATCAGCTGAGGTCTTGAACTTGTACTGAAGATTTAGAATTTGAACTCCTTTGGACTTAGAGTTTCACAGTACAGCACATTTGTTCAAATGAATTCAAAACTTTGTAGATTGCTGTTTATTTGATCTCTCTGGATCCTAAATTCATAAGGTCAGTGCTGAATTGTCATATTTACTGTTAACATATCCCCATTATGGTGTTGCTGCTTTTGATCTTTGACTTTCTTTGGAGGGTAACAGGGAGGGGACTGGTTTGCCTGCAGATATTGGTCACTGCAGAGACCAAATGGCTGTAATGTGTATGAGTCTGTGAATGCTATAGTGATAACTACCTTGGCCCTTGAATAGTTTGCCAGTATTTTCCATCCAGGTGACATGACTTTGGTGAAGGTTGAACCATTTGAGTAAGAGAGTTGCACCTGTGAATCCATATTCGTTGAATGGGCACCTTGCAGAGCAAAAATAAACTGCTTGTTTTTGGCTCAGTTCTTGAATTACGAGTGCTTAGCAAGTTATGTTTTTAATGAAAAGAAAGCCAGACTTGCCTTTTAATGCCTTGCATGACCACACGATGTCCCAAAGCACTTTGAAGACCAGTCACTGCTGCAGTGCCGAAGTACTGTATCAAATCAGGAAGTGGAATTGGCTTTTGTTTAATTTTACTAAGTACAAGCCTAGCCTAATGTAACATCTTTGGAAAGTGTGACCTGAGGAAATTGCATGGTGAGCTTGTCCTATGAAGATAGGCTATTATTAAAGGCTTCATTATTTGGATATTAATGGGACATTACATTTTTTAACTGTTTTGTAAGAATAATTTTAAGTTAATCTTATAATCAAGGAAAAGCTTGGTTAATAGACTTGACTCACATGAGTGGCTAAGAGAAAATGATAGACAGATAAATAAGCAATAATTTCATCTGTTTGCAGATTAACACTTGCAAGTAAATTTAAAGGAGAATAATTTCTATAGAAAATGAAAATTATTACATTTTTGATGTTACTTTTCCCCCTGCTTTCCTACTAATTTTATCAATGGCTGTTAATATAGTTTTCCTGGCCAACCGTGTGTGTGCTTGATTGAAATTAGTATTTCATTGAGGGTGCAGAGCATGTTGTCTTTTTATGTTTGGGTTATCCTTTTTTAGAAATGCGAACATGGTGTATTCATGATCTTTTCACAATTTGGAATGGCCCCAACTATTTGTCATTAATAAAGAAATAATACTTTCATAATGTGAAATAGCATTGCCTGGGAACTGAGCTGCTGATGCTATGTCCCCAAGCTCCAGGTGGAAATGTCCTCAAAATCAAAACAACCATGTTAGATTCTGTTTGAGCTATTATGGCATTACAAAGTGGTATAGATGGTATAAATGCAATTTTTCCTGTGAAAGAGTTAGTGTGAGGGATATTGGTGCTGCGTAATGGAATAATTTTCTATTCCAAGTATCTGCATCAAATGCTTGCAGATCTGGTATCACACATTCATGTAGTGAATAAAGATCCCTCTGCCCTTCTTAATCCCAGTCTCAAACATTTCATGATTTGTGCACTAGTGTGACATTTCCCATTTACTGCACTGACCATCTTAGAATAAAAATGCTAATTTGGGTACTTGTGTTGAAGGCATGTGTCTGTTCTGAGCTTGCTTGAAGCTAACCCAAACTCCTTTCTTGTTGGATTCTTAGGGGTCCGCAGACGTTTATCTCCTAATCAATATTGAATTTGAACCGAGGTCCTAGGGGTTTCAGGCGAGTGAGAGTTTCACTGTGTAACGCAGTGTCTTGCAGAATTTATTTTTGTTCTGACAAATATAGTTAGCTGGTACTTGTCACTTATGCTATATTTTAGATCAAGTCAGGAAATCAACTTTGAATTCAGTGAGTAAGAACAGTGTTTTGGAAAAGCCCTGTAAGTAGAAAAATATGATTAGGTCTCCTTTCTACTGCACAATAATTTGTTTTTTTTCTCTCATTTTACATAATAGGTACAGCTATAACCAAGATAACTCTAAGAGGAAGCATCATTTGAAATTTAGATGCACAGAGCTGCAGCTGTTTGTGACCAGGACACTTTTACTTGAAAAATTCAGTTCCTTGCAAAATTAGGTTTCATTGTTGATAAAACTGCATTGAATATGTAATCCTGTGGTATATCAAAAGATACTAAATACTGTCTGACTGCCATAACCAATCATTATGTATTATCTAGTACAATCAAGGGTATATTGCCACCGTGTAGGATGCATTGTAATAAAACTTTACAAATCACCGGTTGAAATCCTCTGATTTGATTCCAGGGGTCTGCTGCCCATTGGTAGAATTTAAAGCATTTATATCAGTTATGCATATGTTATCTTGAAAAGCCACCTAATGGTTCACTGATAAAGGTGCCATTCCGTGTGGCTCAGACTTTAATCTGGCCCAGGTTCAGACAAATCCTGTCAGGTAACTATTTTTCAGTTGGTACTGAAACTTGGATTAGCACCTGGAAAAAAAAAAGGCCAGGTTTATGTTAGTGGAAAAACCAAGATGTGGAATTAAATTGGACTGCAGTTTGAAAGAACCACCACAAGCAAATCAGGCCAAATGGCTTCTGTGAGCCGTAAGATTGTAGGGTTTATACTTACTAAAATCCAAGTGAAAAGACACTAACGTGGAGCTCTATGAAAATTAAACTTGTTTACCATTACACCCTGAAATCTTATCCATGGCAGTGTTTATCAGTTTATAACCCATAATCCTATCGCAAGTTTTTAAAGTATGGCATACTGCCTTTTGAATTGTCCACTGACATTGAAAATCTGATTTCACGCCATTTTATCTGTTTTGCAGACTTGTACTTTAGCCTTATTTTTCCCATTAGGCACTTGCACTTGTTTCATGCAAGGAAGCATAAAGTAACATCGAACATCTCTTTGTAAGTGTGGGTGTTGAATTAATTAATCTTACATTCATTTTGGGATTCTAGCAGGTCTTCCTTGTTTATTGTCTTACAATTGTTGAAACCTCATACTGGAGACATCAACTGCCGTTTTTTGGTCTACACTCTCATAACCCCCTCTACCCTTTTCACTTGGCTGATTTTATAGGTTAATACTGGGTACACATGTTGAGTATACAAAAAAGGCTTGGGGATGTTGCACAACCTGTGAATCCCTAATGCAGGGATGCCACTTATAAGGGACAAAAAAAAACTGCAGAAGCTGGAATCCAAAGTAGACAAACAGACTGGAAGAACACAGGCCAGGCAGCATCTGAAGGAAAGGAGCAGTCAACATTTTGGATATTGCCCCTCTTCAGGTGGATGTGGGGGTAGGGGAAGCTGCAGATAAAGGGGTGGAGATGGAATGGTGGTGATAGGTGGACACCGGTGGTAGGTACAACCTGGTCGGTCACTGGGAGGGATGAATCCGGTTGTTGGCTGGAAGGGAGGGTCAGAAGGTGGAATGGAAGAGAGGAAGGGGATCTAGTGGATGGGAGTGAAAGTTATTTGAAATTGGAGAACTCCATGTAGTCTTCTGGGCTGTAGGGTGCCCAGGTGGAAGATAAGGTGTTCTTCAAATTTGTGTTCCAAGTTGCTGTGACACTGGAAGAGGCTGAGAACAAACGTGTTGGAGTAAGCAGAGATAACAAGGTGTAAAGCTGGATGAACACAGCAGGCCAAGCAGCATCAGAGGAGCAGGAAAGCTGACGTTTCGGGCCTAGACCCTTCAGAAAATGTTGGAGTAATGTGAATTGTAAAGCCTGCTCCACAGGTTTGCAAGTTGATTGGTCTGAATGGACTTCGCTCTATAACATCTCTGCATTTCATAGAAAAAGATTACATGTAGGCTTTTTAGTTCTCAAATGACTAAGGTTCATTTGCTGAACATTTGAATACTACTTTGTCCTAAAGTGTGATGCAGTCTTAAGATTTCAGTGTTGTATGTTTAAAGGTATATTTTTATAAAGAGTATGCTCTTCTAGTTCCAGATATCTAAAAGTGACAGCATATTTTTCACGTGAATCAAAAGTCTCTATTGTTTTACTCGTTTTTTTTTGTCTCCCTTTTTCCCTTCCTCATTGATCATTGGAGCGGTGAGAATGTACTGACTTTTCCTGGTATTGGCTTTTACCTAGTAACCACCTACCAGTTCACCTAAGTTGTCACTTTTTATACGAGAAGACTAGGCAGTGAGTGCTGGCTGTTCTGCCTTATGTGGAAGGGGTAAACAAATCCATCTTCAGCCACTTCAGAAGGTGGAATCCCGCTTGCTCAATTTTAGTATTGTTATTGTTGCCTCAGCATAAATTTGAGAGAAGCTTGTACTCTCGTTCAAAGGGTTAGCACCATATTTTGTTGTATTTGCCTATGGAATCATTCATTAGGGAGTTGACAGTTAGAGTTGTGAAAAATCATGCTGCTTTTGCACACTAAAAAATTAGTGGTGGATGAATTGAGCAATTTGTGACGGATGCACTAGTTAGCTGTTGGTTAGGTCAACACTGAAAGGCGCAGCTAGTAGTTTATCTTGTGTTGAATATTAAGTGTACAGGAAGTATTAAAATTTAATTGATTTGTGCCGACATCTTGGGCTAAAATGAATATTTGAATGTCCCAATATTCATCTGTTTGAGGAAGTACTTCAATAATATTGCCTCTGAATATTTTGTCTCTTGGCTTTGATCCAGACTCGGCTCCATATAAATTCTGTAGAGGATACACACCGGGGACCAGTGGTTTACCGAAAGTGGAGTGGCACCGGTTGCACAGGCATAACTGAGGTATGGCGGCTGCAACACGAGTGGTTTATTTTCTGTAAACCACATTGTCCCCAGTGTGTATTCTGTTTATTGAACATGTACCTTGCACATTTATACATTCAGTGCTTATTGCATATTTGAATTTTTAATCTATTTCAAATGGATTTAAGCAGGCTTAGTTATTTTTCTTCTCTTCCATTCCTCAAGGCATTTATCTACATGAGGGTATTATTGAGTACCTCCGAGCCAAATGGCTTTTATTATGTGTGGCTCAGACAGCAAGGGGTAGATTCTCTTATTTGCTGTGCCTGTTGAATTACGAGTGGTGACTAGCAGAAGATTTTGGGAAGTATTGCATACTGAGGAGGGAGCCCCTCCAGTTTAACTCCATTAATTTTGTGCATCTAAAATCAGGTGGGTTTCCTCTTGGGCCTGCAGTCCTCCCCAGCAGTATTTCCGTAGTTTTCTCTCATTTGTCCAATTGACCCAGCCAGTGGAACTAGTAATTGCCCAGTGAGAATTTCTCAACACTCTGCTCAGATGTTATTACACACCTCTGGAGCAGGTGGGATTGAACTGAAACCTCCTGGCTCAAGAATAGGGGCATTGCCACTGTGCCACAAGAGCCCTTGCTTTATTGCAGATGAGTGATGCCTTAAATTTACAATTGGATGCGTGAGGAAAAACATTGATCGCCACACGTTATGTTGCTGTTCATGTTGCACACAGCAGCTGAACCCGAGAAAATAGAAACTGGCGAGCCTGTTTCTGTTTTTCATTCTTTAACTCTACTCCATCAATGATTACAGTGTTGGTCTTGTGGCAGCTTCCTGAAACTATCATGTAGTACCTTGCACAAAATGCATGCCATTATAAAAATCATGATGATGAAACTGGGGCTTCCTTGTTCTTTTGGTCATAAATGTGTAGTTATGATAAACTTCTGTCTTTTGAGAAGTTTGTTTGTTTTATTGCTGTAATGTTGAGAGAGAAAGATATTTGTTCTAGTGTTTCATAAAGCATTAAACTTTAATGTTCTGCCACTTGCAACCCTTTTGCATCTAAATTGTAAATGGGGGAAAAAATAGCCGTGTGTTGCTTCCTTTCAAATTGTTCTACTCTGTGGCAAGGTATAGTCTTTGTGCCATGTTTTATTTTCCACACGTTTTTTTTAAGGGTTTTGGTTTGCTTCCTATATCTTAAAGCTGGACTTTAGAACAACTGTTTTAATTCTGTTGGAAGGCATATGCAGAGTGTCAGCCATGGTTCAGAAGTATTTCATTCTACTGAATCAGATGATTGTGGGTTCAAGTCTTGTTCCTGAAACTTGAGCACATAATTAACGCTCGCAATTTACCATAGTGGAATTGTCAGTTGTGTGTATTCTTTTGGATGATGTCTTTAGCCAAAGCCACTTCTGCCCTTTGCTTGAGAGGTGGGATGTAAATGTTCCCTCCTGTTGAACCACGTGGAAGAAGAGTGGGAAAGCGTACCACGATGTTCCAGCTAATACTTTCCTCTTAACCAACATCACTGAAAGATTATTATATCCCATTGTTCGCATATTCACTTCTCATGCCTTTCCTACATTACTACAGTGAATTCAGTTCAAAAAGGTATTAAATTGGTTGTAAGCACTTTGAGACTTCCTGAAATATTCAAAAACACGAAGTGCAAGTTCTTCCTCTTGACCATGCCTATTATTGGTCACGTAGTTGGATTGATTTGAAATCTCTTAGATTTGCTGATAAGTTAATTAGATGCCCAAAGCGCTCTTTCGCCTTTGAAAGGAAAGGAAATCGAGTCTTCAGTTGACTGGTTAGGAGATAGTAAACTAAAACCTTGTTTATATTTGCTCGAACTTAATGTAACTTGCTGCCTTTACTTCTCCCTCTCTGTTCTCAAGCATCGGACTATGGAATGAGATTGCCAATTTTTCGGTCTGTGCCTGAAGATCAAGTTTTGTATCAAACTGAGCGCTACAATGAAGAAACCTTTGGATACGATATTCCAATTAAAGAGGAAGGCGACTATGTACTGGTTCTGAAGTTTGCTGAAGTATATTTTGCCCAATCTCAACAGAAGGTACTTTTAAATTTCTTTGGAAAGAATTTTGATATTGTGCTTATGGAAATTTAAAAAGTAATATTTTTGCAGTACGTATTCCACTACTAAAGTGAACAGCATGTCAACGGTCACTGTTATGACTCTGCTATTCCAAGCTTTTCTGCCCTACAGGAGCTGGTGAGTGGTTCCTGTAACTTCTTTTGGTGCCTAATCTAAATGACCCCTTAATATTAATCAAGACCACAACTTTTTTTTTCAAAAAGTTATTTAACAGTTGGGTGGTTTCACCACAAATCCTGATCCTTGCCTCCCAACTCTACATTTACTTATCTGTAGGAGTCACTGAACAGTGGGAGATATAGCTGACACTTCCTCAAATGCTGGCAAACTGTTTATGAAGGGGAACTATGTTGTAAAATGAGGTCATTGTATGTACCTATTGCTGCTCTCGTGGCCCGAATCAAAGGATTATACATGGAGAGGACAGATTTAAAGGGTCCTAAGGGGCAAAGTTTTCACGTAGAGGGTGATAGGTGTACGGAATGAGCTGCCAGAGGAAGTGGTGGAGGCTGGTACAATTACAACATTTTAAAAGGATGGGTATTTGAATGGGAAGGGTTTAGAGAGAAACAGACCAAATGCTGGCAAGTGCGGTTAGGTTAGTTTAGAATATCTGGTTGGCATGGACAAATTGGACCAAAGAGTCTGATCCTGTGCTGTACTTCTCCATGATTCTATTTCTAAGTAATGGCGTAACTGTTCATTTTAAAAGTATTTTGTGTCGTAAGCCTGCATCCAGGAGGAAGCACTGCAATACTCGTTGATCTGTATGATCTTCACAGCCAGCAGAAAAAATAATTTTAAACCCGTTAGTATGAGCCAGTTTGGAACTGTGTTCCCAGTTACAGTTGCACAGTTAATTTTGCAGAGAATACAGTAGAATTTAATAATGTCAAATTAATTCTTAACAATTGCAACATGTAGTCGTCACCATAGTCTTACCAGACCGTTGGGTTGCTCTATCATTAGAGAGAGATGACTGGTGGTGATTTAACTTGAGGACTACTATACCTCAGGTGAGGAGAGAGATTGGGAAGGAGATTCCTTCATGGTAACTTCAGCCAGTGTGAAGATTGAATCCATGCTGTTGTCATCACACTGCTTCGCAAATCAACCGTCCAGCCAACTGAGCAAAGCCAATTTCCTCCCCGCCCCCAAAACATGTAGTGGATGTTGATGATTGACACGATCATTTTGAAAGTTGTGACAGTCAAGAGTTCACTTGTAGTAGAATCAGGAAATGTTTATGTCAAGCCAAATATGCAGAGAGGGAAAGAAAATTGATATTTCAAGTCAATGATATTTCATCAGATAAGAAAACGGTAGTGGGAGCGGAGATCCAGCATTCTTTTTCTTTTTTAGGAAGAGTTCAGCAGAGATTGGAGTTTACAGATCTATGAACTCATGCTAACATCCTAAGAAGCCCCTTCCAAGTTTTTTTCAGAATAATTTGACTATTGCCTACAAGTAGAAAAGTTAGTTGTTGTTATGTAACACAGTAAAATTACATTTTGTCATTTCTGGCAAAATCATAGAATAACACTATAACAGATACTACTGACTGAGAAGATTGTGGTAGGCAATCAGGATCTGTAATAAGTTTTATCATTTAAATTTTTTAAAATGAAGGTTTTATGGTTTATGATTATTTTTATTTGTTGATCTAATGCAACCCAGCTGTACCTGAAATTTCAAGCAGTGTAGCTCAAGAGTTCCTGCATTGTAAAGGGGTTGCTTGTAGTGAACCAGTGAAGGTTTGTAATTTGTTTTCTTCCAAGCTAAGTCTTTCCAGCAGCTGCCCTTGTCACTTTGGAGTATTTCCTTTGGGGTTGCTGGTAGCTGGGAGAAGCATGTGCATTAGGAACTGGTAAGGCTAGCAACTATGACACATAGTACAAAAGCAGCTCTAATGACATTTTTCCTTCTGTTGGTTACAGGGCTGTACCCATAAGTTTGTCACCCTACTGTTGTGTTAACCTTTGACTGTATTACTAACGTTTTTTAGCTCCAATTTGCACAGAAATTTCACAAGCCCATATTTGCAATTTAATGAGACCTTCTTGACCATACTGTTAATAGGTTAGAAATGCTTTTAAATTAAGTTTGGTGGTTACTGTGAACCTAAAGCTGTCAAATGGCTTATGCAAGCAGTTGAAAGTGTTTATGGTGCCTCTCTAACTTGGTTATAATGCAGTCCAGTTACTAACATAAATATAGAGATATGGGCTGTAAAACTTGGTTTTGTGTTACAGATGATTTTGGTGCTCAGAGCCTGGAGTTTAGAATAAGCTTTAGGCTGTTGCAAACACAACTGTGTACATGCTGGAATCATGTAGGGAGGACAGATATGACTCCATATACTACTCACTTGGTGCCCTCCTTGTTATTTTGAAGCTCTTGGGTTCTGTTAGAGACTTTTATTACAAATGTACAGTTAAACAAGTGTTCAATGCACAAGGCCCTTCCCACCACTCACCACCAACACTACAGTCAGTTCTGGTATAACACGATAGTTCTGTTCTCGTATTATAAGAAAATTGTGTGATAGCTGTGCCATTTAAACTAATGGGGCCAGAATGGCATTATAGCCAATACAGGTAAGGAAAATTCACGTTCTAGTGGTCTAAATTCTTCAATTGTGTTTAAAGCCAATTTGTGTTGAAGAAACACACATAGCCGAACTGACCCTACGTAATGGGACCACCATAGCGTTTACTGGTGTGGTACTTTTGACTTTGCTCTTCCGCTGAGTTAGCGGATGTACTATCCTGTTGAAGAACTTGCGTAAACTGAGTCGAGGAAGAATGGTCTTCAACAGAAGAAAACCCACTCTTGTTTGTGGGGCAATTATTGCAGACTTGCTTGGGCTGTAGTGTGAAATGGACATATAGCAGAGAGGGGATGCTGTTGACCAAAGGAGAAGAGCTTTCAACAGAGGGTCATACCTACTGAGGAGTTTGAGTGGTTACAGCTGAAAGTGGAATTTACCCAGGCACAGTGTCTGAGGTGCCTATACTTCATTAAGGAGTTAGTTGCTGAACATGACTGACACTTCCAGCTAGACCTGAGGTCATTCAGCGCTGTAAATGATAGCGCTGCCAGGGTCACCATCTTCCATTTCTAGACATAGCTAGCTGCATTCTGGAAAATCCTATGTTGCCAACATTTTTCAGTTCACTGTGCAATTGGAAAGTGATTGAATCTCTGTATGTGTGGAGATGGACTTGATTTTTCTTTCTTCTCTTAGCAAGAATATCTGGTCTGGCTTTGCAGAATTAATTAACTTTCCAATGGTGCAGGGACCCTTGGATTACACACTTGCGTAGCTCTGAGAGTGGCAAAACTGGAAAAAGTTCCAATTCCTGAATACGTAGTTGATTTGTGACTGCTCTGCAAGTCATTTTGGTGAATGCCTGGTATCTTGTGGCTTTTATTGTGTAGCAGGCAATAATTTCCACCATCTACAAACTACAACATCAAACCAGACGATGGTTGTTAATCAAAACCTATCTGCTCTACAAATGGCTCATGACTTGCCTCCTCCACCCAGCTGCACAGCATT